AGAAAACCCTCTGAGCCAATAGGAAGACCTCCTGGTCTCATCTGGATTAATGCTGGTAACTGAGATCAAGTCTTCCTCCATCCTTCAACCTTAAAACAGGCTAGAAGAGTCCAAATGATCAAAGAAAATATAATTAATATCTTTTAAAAACAAATAATTAACATTCTTAAAAAGATAAACATATATTCTGGACAGGAAGTTTTTATCCTTAGAATCCCCCTTTAATATTTCATCTAAATGTTTTATATATATTTACATCATTTAAATGTATTAATGTGATCACTAAAAGGTTATGATTGATCTTATTAGTGAGTAGATACAATATAATTACTGAATTTCCCATTCAAATGTTAATATTGTGATTTTGATTACCATTGTATCTTTTAAAAGGGTTATTCTATGTTATCCTATTATTCTAGCTCTATATTTACTCTGTATGTCATAGAGGGAGGGGTCTATAGAAATAAAATAGAAGCAGAGTTATTTCAGGTTTTCACTAGTTATTATGCTGTAGAAAGTTAAACTGATAAATGATTGCTCCTCATTTTTCAGAAATGCTTTTTCATTTGAAATATGGTAACGATTGGCTTCCATAGAGGGAAAGCATAATAGGAAGGGACGTACAGGAGGCCAGATATAAATAACAGATAAAAACAGAGATCACTGAATTAAACTAAAATGTTGTTTAACTCTTAGAACTAAACCAGAAATTATTACAAAACGTTGTAAAAAATTGACAAGATTTTATTTCAATAACATATTAGAGCTTGTTTAAAGTGAAGGTGCTTAAAAAGATAATAAATGAAATAATAGTTATTATTGTGAAAACTTGTGAAAATATCCAGATAAACTCAGAGTTTATTCTCTGCTCTGATAAATATTGTTGTTCATATAAAACAGAACAGCAGAGCCGAGCGCGATTTGTGGCACTGGCAGGTCGCTCTTGAACTTCCGGTGGCAGGTCGGACTGCCACGGCGTATTACTGGCAGCTGCCAGTAGTTGTGGCAGCTGCCACTAGGCTGCCACAACTACTGGCAGCTGCCA